CGGTCGGGGCTGAAATCCACCTCCACCATTGGCTTCCATCATGAGGATGGTGGCCTCGTCCTCGCACATCCCACACCCATCACCTGATTCATCTTCTGACATAGTGTTGCCGATGACGACGGTCATCGGTTCAGCCGGGACGGGCAGGTTTCCCTGCTGCACAAGCGTCTGAGCATCGCTTGGCTGTCCCGAAGTCGGCGGCACGGTAGTCGGCTCAGGCTCGTTACCGAGCGCAGGCTGCCCGATAATATTTCGCACGGCCGTGCGGTTAGGCTGTAGCCCCGCCGCCTGGAGACCCCATCCCGGCGGAGGGAGAGCCTGGCCGCGCATGGAGATGGCCCTTTCAAGGGCTTGGCGCCATCTTCCTCTGAAATACCACACATGTCGCTGCACGTCCTCAGGGTGCGCGCTATCAATAAGAGTGAGGGCCGCCAGCACTAACTCCGAGTCGTCGCAGGCATCGGTGTCTTGTAGCATCATGTGGCCACTCTCGACACTCTCTTGACTCTCGGGATATGCTACGACCAATACAGCGTGCATCTGCATGAGGGTCTGCAGTATCGTGCGCGGTCCGTACTCGCCTGGGGCAAGCGAGCGAGGTGGTACATATGGGTCCCCTGGCACGCCCGTAATGAATGCTTGAGATTCTAGTTCCACCAGGTCGGCATAGTTTGGAGAATATACTGGAGTGGGCCTGTTTCCAGGCATAAGGTCGGGTTGATGTCGAAGGTTGTGGTCAACCTCCGAAGGCGAGGCCTCTACAGTTACGTCCTCGTCACTGCTCTCGCAGGCCATGGTGTTGCCTGGGTTACCGAACATCCAGTCGAAGAAAGATAAGGGCTGGTTTCCCAGCGCACCATTCTCCACAGGCGTAAGCTCGATATTTCCGATAACAAATCTGCGGAGGTACTCGAGGTAGTACGCGTACAGTCCGTGGCCGTACGCCTCGAGCTCATCCAAGTTGTCCATGCTGCTGGCCCAAGTGAAAAATATCTGTTCCATGGCCTCAACATCTTGGAGGCTCAGATACTCAATAACTGGTTCACTTGAGCCGAAATGGACTTCGGTCGATCTGCCCTTTCCATTTCCCTTCGCTGGACAATCTTTTACCAGATGATCGGTACTATCACACTCATGGCACTTTAGGATCTGGCCGTCTCTACCTTGCGGGTTCCCCCGCCTACCTTTACCTTTGCCTGAGGGATCTCTACGGCCTTTACCACGGCCTTCCCCCCCGAAAAAATATCTCATCATACTGATCATCTGAGAGCCTCTGGAGGAAAGCCGCGATGCCTCGTCCATTCAACCTACGGCGACCCCGTTTGCCTTTACCTTTTCCTTTGAAGCTCCTCCGTATCCTCCTCCTAACACGACGCACTGGTTTTCGTGTGGACCTCCCCCGCCTCCGCTTTGCCTGTTGTAATAACAAGAACAGGTGTTCGGCACGCTGATTGTCACCTTCCATGTGCATGATATCTGACCAGTCTGAAGGTTCAATACCATCTGATGATATGGTGTCGGTGTCGGTGCCGGAGTCGAAATCGTCATTTCCCAGGTAGGTGGATACACCGTCGCTTAAGGGATTCGCTTCACCCCATAAGCAACGGTGTGGTTGGGGTTCTCTAGGAGGGGGGCTGGTTGCCCAGCTTGGTTGTGATCGATCCCCTGTTAGTAAGGCAGTGGACTCACCAGGATCGTCGGCCCATATGCTTGAGGGCCCGTTGCCAGGCTGAGCTTCAGTGGTTAAGGTAGTATAGAAATTTCCACTACCAGTTCCCTTTCCCCTTCCAAACACTGATCCTATGTTACCAGGAGACCGTTCTGACAAATGGCCTATCGAGCGCATCCTCTCGCACAACTCATCATGCTGTTGTTGTGTTCGGGGCATTTGGTGGATGAGTGGCTGCAAGAGTTGCATGGCTCTCTGGTTGCCGACGCCTAGGGCGCGGAATAGGATAGTAGTGAGCAGTTGGAAGTTGGGAAGGTCAAGCCCCACCGACTGTGCCTCAAGACGGGCCATCTCGAACCGAGTGAGGGTTACATCATTTCGTTCTCCGTGAGGCACATGAAAGTCGATGAGCTGCCTGAAGTGAGATGGCGCTCATCTTCCAGGCGTTCGAACTTCATGCTTAAGAGGAACATAATGTATGTTACTGGATCGGTGTGGACACCATCGATGTCCGCACCATAGTTTATAATGTCAGGTGGTACCCTCATGGCAAGTGTCCTCGCTAGGCCACCCAGGCCGCGTTGTATGGCGGCTGCTTGGGCTTGTGGCGTCATGCGTCCGCTTGTGACGTTTAGCCACGCGTTGACCTCATAAACGTATTCGCAAAAAGGTACGTTGCCTTGAGGGTCCCAGTATGGGCCATGTGTTTGCCCATCTGTGCTATTATCTCCCCGACGCATGTGTCCGATTGCCGCCCCCAGCGCAAACCATATGATGGTGAAGATAACCAGCCCTAGGTTGTGAAGGTAAGGGTGGTTATCAGGCGCGTTGCCGCGCTGGGGTAGGGCTTGTAGCACCTTGTCAAGTCTACGAGGCGCTTTATCTTGCGGGTCTCCCCGCCTACGCTTCAAGTGCTGCGCTTTTGGCTCGTTGCCGAGCGGTTGGTAGTAGCGTAGTGATGAAGCGTATATGGTACCAATGTTGTTGTCTAGACGTCGTACCTCTCGTGTTGCTTCTTGCTCTTGAACTAATCCTCGTGAATGTAGTTGGAGTGGTGGCGCAGGGTGGTAGTTGGTCACGAAGATCGTGCCGGATAGCGTGAGGATAAGAAGAGCAAGAGCTGACCACACGAGAGTGCGGCCAGCTCCGCTACCAAGTCTGAAGTGACTATGGTAAGTCATATAGCATCCGATTCCATGGGAAGCGGATGGCAAATATCGTCCGGTGCCGTACTGTGGTGGTTCAGTAAGGGGAATGGACGGATAAGATAGGATAAGATCGATGTAGTGAGCTTTCCAGCACATAGCGAACACAAGCAGTGTCCGGGCAAATAGGGCGCGCGTGCCTTGAGCCAAAAGCAACGGCGCGCGAGCTATACTCCCGATCCTATATAACATCTCTCAAAGAGCTACCCTTAAAGTTGCTGCCCAACTGAAAAGGAACGCAAGGAGGATTGAACAACGGAGAGCATTAGATGCAGCACCAGCAGGCATATGTGTTACGAAATTCTTTAATACATGAAGAGAGTCAAATTACCTCGATATATGGCTTGACCCAAATGGCTACGGAGGCTCCTGGCTGCTCTTTGGTGTTGCCTGCTGCTGCTTTCTGCTACGCATTGCAGTCGCCGATTTGCCGTCGACGTGAGCACATGATTGCAGCCGATTGCACGTTTCGTCGTTGTCCCTCTTGAAAGATCTCTCGGAGCCTCTCCTGCGCACTCCCACCTTCGCGGCGCAGACACAGGCACATCCGACCTCGTGAGTTGGTTGTTTTTAGTACGTGGCCCCATCAATTGACCCCTTCCTAGGGGCTGTGCGTTTCCCAAACCTATTGGTGTAACGGCCCTGGGGCCCAGGCCCGGTAGCGACCCCCAATGCCCGACGTGGGAAAACAAAATCCCCCTTGCGTTTCAAAATGGTGAAGGCCTGACCTGTCCTGGGGCACATTCTGACTCGATGTCCAGGACTGTCAAGGTGGATCCCAAGAGCCTTGGCACAACACAACACTGACGAGCACACCGCTCCTCGAACATCGGGCGGGCGGCGACAACGGGACAATGAGCGAGGGGCTAACGAGGGGTGCCCGAAAGTGGCCCTGTTCAAATAGGCCCAGAAGGACTGGCACCCTGGCCCGAGGAGTTGCTGGGAGGGAGCGCCTTTCTTCCCTCCCGTTTGCTTTCCCCCTCCCGTTGCCGTCCGTCAGGGCCGTGGCGGGGAGGACGCCCTCAAGGAGGGAACGCAAGACAGAAGCTATAAGATGCATTTCCCCGAGGCGCGAGAGCGATGGGGAAGGAGGGAGGGGGAGGGGGGCCGAGGATGCCTCCCTCCCCTCCCTACTCCCTCCTCGTCCTGTCGCAGGGACTCGGGTGGTCTGTCACCTCCCACACACACAAACATACAACGTCATGGACAAATCACGAAGGAGGTGCTTCTTAATGTTCTGCATCTGGGGGCACTAACCCGCTTCCAGCACCGTTAAACAACTACTTGGGGATAGAAAAACCCGGCCCTGAGGAAGGCGTCGGGATTTCTGGACATCGCGTGCTGAAGCAATCAGAACATCTTGTGCCCTGGGGAAGAAGTCGGGACCCCCGACCCACACGCCTGACCTGAAGCGGGTCTGAGGCTGGGGCCGCGGATAGGGGGGAGGGAGGCCGAGGAGGAGGAGAAGAAGGAAGAAGAGGAGGAAAATGAGGAGGAGGAGGAGGAGGCGGACGTCCATCAGTGCCCAGCTCAGAACGAACTGAATCCGATGCAGGGGGGCTGGTGAACAAACGATGCACAAAAACAAGTCAACGGTGTCTACGTCGGACCTCGATCCCCGAGGCCAAAGGTGCGAGGCGGGGAAGTATCCGTACCCACCGCCTGTGAAACACTTGTCTTCGCACCCCAGCGGGGCGGTGGATATGGATATGCTGCGGCCGCCCCCCGGACAACACATCTCCAGATCCGCCGCTTCTCAGAGGTCCAGCAAGATCGGTGTCCCAGGCCGTTGAGATGGACAGGCCTGGTAAGGCGTCGGGTTGCGCACAGCCAGCCCCCCCAAGTAGTCCCGGCTGGACTCAATCGGCTCCCCGAGCAGTCCAGGGCGGTCTCAACGTCCCAACCATAGGGCGGAAAATGCCCCCAAGGGCGCCGTTGGAGGCGGCGCCAGGGCGTTGAGACCGCCCAGGACTACTTCGGGGGGCTGTTGAGGCCAGCTGGGACTACCTGGGGGGCTGTTGAGGTCAGCTGGGACTATCTGTGGGAGCTGCCAGTGCGCAGCCCGACGCCTGACCACACAAATCACTGCCTCGGAAAAAGGCGGCCGGGCGCGCAGAGAGCCGGACTTGCGCCGCTGGCCCCTGTCCGGCTGCTGCTGCTGCTGCTGCTGGGCGGCGACCCTTCTCTGGGCCTGCTCCTCCCACTGCGGCCGGGGCGCAGCCTGGTCAGCTGGCGCGCGGTGCCGAGGAGAAGGAGAGGATGAGGGAGAGGAGGAGGAGGAGAAGAGGAGGAGGAGGGAGGAGGAGGAGGAGAAGGCTGAGGAGAAGGGGGGGGAGGAGGAGGATGATGATGAGGAGGAGAAGGAGGAGGAGGAGTAGGAGGAGGAGGGCGAGGAGGAGGAGGAGGAGGAGAAGGAGGAGGGAGGGGGGCAGCATTGTAGTCGTCGTTGTACGAGGATGACGTAGGTGACCGTTGTTCTCATCAAAAACGACTGAACCTGCCCTCGAATCACGGGTTGGGGCAGGGGCGCAGACGGGTCAGGGCAGAGCGACCACCCCACGCCGGACACGTTCCGACGAACGTGACAAAAACATGATTTTGTTTAAAGTGTCGTCAAGTGCCCAGCGCTCGCGTGGCACCACCAAAGCACTCTGACGCGCAATGGTGTTCAGCCCGAGGGAGGCAAGGGGAGGGCAACTACACGTCCCCCCTCCCATACTTTTCAAATGCGTGAAAGACACTAGTGGGAGTCGCTGTCTTGCACCCTTCCAGAAAGAGTATGCGCACTGCGGATGGCGTGGACTCCGCACGTCACGCAAATTACTGGGAGCATTCTCTTTCTCAGGTGGGCAATATATCTTGAATGGAAGGGACGGTGTGTAAACTGCGGCGTGGGTCCCTTGGCCGCTTCGGCGCCTAAGAATGACAACTTCCAGACCACAGCCTGACACGGAACGTGTCAAAGGATCTGACGGGTCGGCAAAGGAACAGCGAGCGGTGAAGATAACAGCCCGCTGGCGGGCATTCTATCCTGACCAATGGCCCGTCAACCACTTACACCCCAAGACGAAAAAGAAAAGGCTCGGCAACCGAGGAGCGCTCGGTGAAAATGGCGGCCCCGTCGCGGGCGTTCCATCCTGACCAATTGCCCATCTGCCAAGTAAACCATTCCAAAACGAACATGATTGCGCAGGGCCTGGCACTGGGCCGCAAGAAACTTGAAAGCAAACAATTGCGGAGAAACGGTGGTAGCAACAAAATAACGGAGACGATCCCATTCAAACCCACGCACGCACATCAAACACTGGGGTTATTCTCTTTCTGAGGTGCGCAATTTATCTGGAATGGAAACGACGCTGTCTAAAGTGCAGCGTGGGTCCCTGGGCCGCTTCAGCGCCCAAGAGTGACAGCTATCAGACCAGAACCCGTAGCGCGAGCATTCGGGCACACCTGAACGCGACGAATTACCCCACTTTGGCCCAACCGGGCTGCCGGCCCACCCGGGCCTGTTCTGTGAGAAACGGGGCCAGCAGCAGTTTTAAGTTTGGGGGGTCAAGGCTGGGCGATGGCTGTCCATCTCTCTCCGCCCCCCCCCCCTTCAAATGAAAGCGCGGGCGGCTGGTGCGAGAGCACGCCCCCCACTTGTCTTTAGAACGCACGGCAGCAAGCTTCTCCGAATCTCGGGCGCAGGCGTTGCCGAATAGAAGAAGGGCCATCTTCCTCCAAAGGGTTTCCATCATGCAAAAATCACAGGCTTCTGATTTCCTAGGCCTGGGGTGTCAACGACAGGCGACTAGCCAGCGTGCTTTCCCAGACCCAGGGCACCGAACAACGACTGAGACATCTGACGATATGTAGAGTAGATGTCAAACAAGCGTTGCCTTCGTCTTCTTTCAGCTGCTCATTCTCGGGGAGTTCCGACAGCCTCCAAGGATGACAACTATCGCGACTCATTCTCGTTCTTTCACGCGCAATGGAGAAGCGAGTGCAAGGAGGCACTGAACCGGCGGCGAATACCTCATCTTTTCTGGCCATAGTATCTTCTCTATCGTCTTTACATGCTTCGATCTGGTTCGGTCATGGGCGCCCCGCAAATGTCGGCCACGCTCAGAAGCTCTGAACCTGTCGGTTCTCACGGCCCTGGCGACACCACCCGAACCCGATAACAGATCCAATAATGCACCGTCCTTCACGGCGGCGGAGGCCACGCCGTGGTTTTGAAGCCTAGGACGTGCTCCCTACGCGTGCCTCGCAGTCACTGAACAAGGCCTGGCGGGCCTCGGAGTGCCCGGACATCTGCATGGCGAGCCCCCCGTGCTTCTCGTAGCGCACTCGTCTCTCGGTGGAGGCCCAGCGGCCTCTCTTCTGGATCTGCTGCAGCGTCTGCGCCCCCTTGAGCCTGTCCCAGCTCGGCCTCACCTCACGTGGTGCGGCCCTACCTCCAGCCGATCAGCTTTGACGCCTGCCTCAGCGCCAGTAGCACGCGAGGGTAATCCAGCGCCCAGCAGCCCCCCGCGGTCCCGCTTGCGCAGCGCCCCGGACACTTCGTTCATGAAGAACAGGTAGGGCGCGTCCCAGAGCAGGCTGTCGTCGTTAGCGCCCACCTGGGTCGGCACCCCGCGCCCATCTGGCGCGACCAGGAGCCCCCAATGGCTCGACACCCCCGCCTCCTCCCTCTCAGGGTCTTCTCGGGGTCATCTTAAAGGCTTCGTTGGAGCTGCTCGGGGCGCCTTCCGGCGGCTTCTGCGGGGCTCGCGAGGGGGCCAGGAGGTGTCATTGCGTCGCGAAGCGTGGTTCGGACCCCCCGGCAGCGCGTGAGAAGCGCCGCGCATCTCATGAGTTCGCCTGGAGCGCTCAACTGCCAGCAACCGAGCAAAGGACGTCAGCGCACGAGAAAAGCACATTCAACAAGGAGCCGCGGACAACATAACTCGACGCGCAGGGCATCATCGGATGGCGGCGGCATCCGAAGACAGCATTTACGATGCTCATATACCTCCCGGCACTGCCCGCCCCCTGCCAATCGCCCACCCCCTTTCCCCATCAGACCGCCCGTCTGAGAGCCCGACCGCGCAGTTGGATGTGGGCGCGTGCATGTTTGGTAGACTTGACGGTAGCCCTACAGTTCCTGGGCCCCGAGACTCCAGCAACTTGGCGCCCCGAAGGAAAAGGTCGCGCCCTGAACCCAAAAGCTCGAGACCCGAAGACACAGAAACCGGAAGCCACGGAGGGAACAGAGAGCGGCGCAGGGGAGAGACTGCCATCGCACCAGTGGCTCTCGGCACCCTTTGCGACGAAGGCGCCCTCGGCGCAGAAGTTGAACTGCCGCGCGCCCTCGGGCAAAGGCACCCTCTGCTCGGATAGCGATTCGTACAGGAGGTCTCCGCCAGCGGCCGCGCCCCGAATGAGCTCGAACCTGGATCGGTGGAAAGCCTCGTCGCCCATGCGTGGCGCCTGCTCGGAGCGCCGGGCTGACCGCGGGCGAGGGGGGCCGCGCGGCGCCACGCTGCCTGCCGCAGCATTGGCTAAAGCCCACGCGGCTGACATCGGCATGGCAGCTGAGAGGGAATCGCCACGTAAGTGCTGGATTGTCCTGGGGCGACGCCGATGCCGACGGCGGCCCATCGAAATCGGACGATGCTCAGACGCATAATGCTCGATGCGTCGCAATGGCATCAACGTGCAGCTCTATCGCCTATCGCGCACCGCCTAGATGGGGCCGTCCACATGCTGTCAGAGAGCTGTCGCCTCCAAGGCCTTCAACCGAAAAGGCGGGCGCTGCGAGCTTCGCGCGGGCGAGGCCGAGAACTCTCAAGCATTGTGACAAATGAAAAAGTTGGTGGAACTGCAACTAATCCTGAAGAGATACGAACATACCACACCCGTGGTAATTCAGGACCCCGCCAGCGATTCAGAAGGAAAGTCTGCCGAGCGCTTGTTGCTTGCACGGGCAGGGCGCCTGCCGCGCCAAAGGTGTCTCCCACCTGCTGCTCGCGCCGAATTAAGCTGACTCGCTCGGCTGCTCCTTGGCGTCCTCCAACGCATTCTTCGCCCTGAGCCTCTTTGCTAACGCCTTCGATGGTAGCTTCATCATGCCAGGCAGGGCCACGACTGGGACCTGCAGCGCCGAACACGCCGAAGAGCCCCCCCCCAGGGGAAGGCTGGGCACCCGCAAGCTGCACTGTCGAGGCCTGGACTGACATTGCGCTGGAAGCAGCGCTGCTGGCGTTCAGTGGGGTCTACTCCTGGGCGGCCTGACTCCCCATGTCGCTAACGGCGTTGGATGGCCCAAGGCCGCGGACATGGCATCAATCCTGTCGGTCAGGCCGCCGGCGGGAACGACGTCCTCAAGAGCCCCCTCCACGGCCGACGGCGCCGGGGGCGCGGGCAATGCCGGGAGGCCTTGGGGATTGACCACGGGCCCGAACTTCTCCTCGATGGCCTTGGGTACGGCGTCCTCAGCGAAGAACGTGTACATGGGGATCTTGTTCCATGACTTCCTTGGGTCGTAAAACACAGGCGCGTTGCAGATCCAACTTACATTAATCTGGTAATTCGCGGTGGTCTTGGTATCACACCTGCACGCCGAGAATGGACGCGTGGGCGTGGACGTGATGGTCGAGGGGGATGTCGCCCGCGTACAATGGCATCAGATAGAACGGTCCCGAGTTCGAGAGATCAACCTGGCCATCCTCACAAAACTTGATGCCCCCCACGGCGCCAATCCTCTTGAACTGCTCCAGCCACGCGTCGCACCAGACAGAATTCTTCATCGGGCCGGTGGGGTCCGAAGGCAATGAGATGGTCAGGCGGTGAAACTGTTTCGTGCCACGCTCCTTGTCGCTCTTGCTGGCCTCATTGATGACGTTCTTGGCACAGCCTGCCACGGGTAGAAACACGTACTCTATTAAGGTCAACGGTATGCTCTTCAACGATCTACCAAGCAACTCAGAGAAGAAGTATCAATTCGATTGCATTTTCATTACATAGCACTTCGGCACAGCGAGCACGGCCTTGAGTTTCGCGGCGTGACTTTTCATGATGTCTGTCAGCTCCTTAACCTGCTGGCGTTGCTCCAACGATTCCTGAGATGTTAAGAGGGCGCCGATCTCCCGAGCCATTTTGCACTTCTTGGAAGCGATGTTGGCTTCTGTGGTTCCACGCTTTGGCATGGCTCGTCGGCTGGACGAACGATGTCTCTCAGAGGATGCGGAGCAAGTCAGATCAACCCCTGGCTCTAAACAGCTACGGTGAATGATGACAACTACATACGACACGAATGTCGGCGTGCTAGAGAAAGACATTCTCCTCCTTCTCCTCCTGCACCTTGGCCCACCTCCTCACCGTCCACCCCTACACGCTGCCATTGGGTGATTTTGCTTTTGGACCGAGAAGGTTTTAGGGGGGGGGTCAGAAAACTGTCCTCCTGAAACTTGGGAAAGACGTGATTCCAGTCTATGTATTGAGATTTGTGGGACCTGGCAGCAACGATGTCAATCCACAGTGAGAGACTCGCACCTCTGGTGAGCACCCGCGATGAGGGTCACACTTCTGTTCAAAGCTTGCGCGGGCGCTTACCTCATCACGTACGGTTATAAGCGTTGCATTCAGGCCTTGCTTCCTTTACCCCCTTCCTCCAGGAGATCACGAACGACCAACTCCTGCTATCGACCACCCAGGTAAACAAAACCCCGGGTGCCGCAGGGAAATAGGGCAAGCGCGGGGGGGGCAACGAAGAATGTGCGGGGTGGCGGAAGAATGAACCGATCAGAAAACGCTCGCTCCTCTTCCGTTTCTCCCGTCCGCACTGCCCCCCCTTTCTCCAAGGCCGACGAATCTCCTTTTTCGTTGCGCTGCATGCTGCAACGCGTCCCTGATCACGGCAACTCGCCTGGGCATCTTCTCTGAATGGACTGATAAGGATATGCGGAGCGACAGGCATTGTGATCATAGTGGTGATGGGGATGAGGAGGAGGATTGACGCGGGCAATTAACAACCGCAAAGGCAACGACAACAGCGCCGCCATTGTGCGGGACCAGAGTATGGGTCGCGACAAAGAGGGAGTGGCCACCAAGCACTTACGTCACAGCGCCTTCGTTGGCCGCCAAACGACCAGGCACGCCAGGCGCACCAATAAGGCACACCAGACACACTAGGCATTCCGACGAAGCACGCCAAGCACACCGACTGGAAAAGCCAACCGAACCGAGCAGGCTGACTTCTACTATGCCTGACCACTGGCCCACTAGAATCGGCACTCATCATCTCCAAGGTAATCGGCGCCATCATCGTACGCCGATCGCCGACATTAGGGGACCTCTATCATCGCGTGCATCAACATGCTGCAAATGTCGGTTTTCATTGAAAAATAGTTTATGCTTTTCTATCTACGGGAGGCAGGGTCGGCGTTGGAGCTAGAGTCGGAGGTGGAAGACAAGGGTGAGGAGGTGTAGGGGGGGGAGGATGGAAGAGGGAGGTGGCACATGGGACAGCGAGCGAATCCAGCTAGAAATGATCGCTCTGAAGAATGTGCTGGAGCCACTCACTCGCTCCGCTCATGCGTCGGTGCTGCGTCGAACGTCCGTCGACTTGAGTCGAACATGAGTCTAACTGGAGACTGGAGTCGAATTAGAATCGAGCAGATCAGGTGTGGCCCAGGGAAGTCTCCCAAAACGACCATCTAACAGGAGAACATGGGCACCCTTCCCTGGGTCGTGAATTAATCGCGACGGCACGTTTTTGGCAGTTTTCGGTCCCTGTGGGCCTTGCAGGGCCTAGGGCCGTCAGACAACGACTCAGGATGCAACAGACCGGGTCCCCAGGAAAGTCTCCAGATATCCGGGTGACAAGAATCCCGACGCCGAGGCCGCGGAGGTTGCTTGGCTGGTGGCATGGGTCAGCGTTGGGTGGTGCAGCAGGCATGTTCAGCGGCACCTCTCACGTTGTCATGCAGCTCCGCGTGGAGCTGGCGGAGATGGGGTGGCGACCGGCCGCCACTTTTGCAAGCCAAACGGCGCTCAAAGCATCGAATTTTAATTCAATGTGCTTCAATGTCTTTCGATGTGTCTCGGACTTTTCAATTGTCAGAATTCCATCTCAATTCTCTCACCTAGACCTGGCGGCGCCACACCAATGTGGAGCTGAGGGAACGCAGGGATGGCTGGGGGACAGCTGACCTCCCTTCGCGGGAGCCTGACACCGCAGTCATGGGTCATCTCGGCTCGAACCACTCCCAGGGAAAGGACACCCCCTGAGGGAGAGCCCCTCCCTCAAGGGGGTTGCTGCTCCGTTCCCTGAGGGAGGGGGTGCTCCCTCAGGGAACGGAAAATCAAATCAAATCGCACCGAGGCTTTCCCCCCGGGGGAGGGATCGAACGAACGAACGAGAAGCCTAGCGCCAGACGGCGCGTGAGCAAGGTGAAACAGGGCGCCGCGATGTCGAATTGCGGCGCTACCATGTGTTCGGGCACCAAGATCTTACGGTCGACTCCCACGAGGCTGCCGCCCCACCTGACGGGTGAAGGTATGCAGACAGCGCGTCGTGGGAACCAGCGGCTTCAAGACAGTTTCGGAAAACTATGCTTCCCCACGCTTGCCTGGGGCGCCCTTGTCGCCGGGGTCCGGACAGGGGCCGAAGATCTATGCTACCTGGCTAAAAACAAATTGCCAGACAGGGTCACTGTCAGGGCGTCGTGCCAGTTGGCCCATGAAGAGCATCTGCCTCTTGATCACGGCCTCTGCCCTGCCACTGGCAAGGCGGTTGCGTTTGACACTCTGCTGTAATATGCCGGCGGGGTTCCTAAGATTTTCCGCAAACATCGTGTTTGGAAGCTGTCTAGCCTCCTCCGCTCCGTCTTGCTCAGGCAGGCGGCAAGCACGCTGTATAATAATCTGGGACCCACACATGATTCGATGATATGCATTTTCTTCCTCCGAGAAAGAGAAGAATAAGCCCAGATCGAAAACAGAGTATTGAAATATTTGCCCTCTGCGCTAATCCTGTTGCTAAATTCCGTTCCGATCCTTGCGTCGGCGGACAGACAGGGTCGGAAGTTCGTCGTGACCGACCACGGAGAAACGTCACACGAACATGTGCAAAGCAATGGGATATGTCAAGGCTGCCCACTGTCGCCATGTCTTTTCACCATTGTGATGACTACTCTTCTCACCCACGCGCACGCTATGCACCGAACACGGGTAGGCCACGTCCCAACGGAGAAGTTTGTGCGAGAGTTAGTGTATGCTGACGACACGCTCCTGATTGACAGCGACCTGGATATCATCGAGGACCTCATGAAGTGCATAGAGATATGTAGAAGTCATTATGGGCTCTCGTTCAACCTGCACAAATCGAGATGCTGAAGGTGAAGGCGGCGGCGGACGTTCGGGACAGTAGTCGTGAATTGGTGACTTGCAAAGATTACCTTGTGTATCTCAGTACGCGTCTGTCCGCCGACGGGGAAGGATCGACAAGTCGAAGCTTCCCCTTCGAACTCCGCCTCCAATGGCCCAACTCGGTCCCGTCGAGTGGGGCCGTCAGAAAGCGTGGACTCCAGGGCCCCAGGAGGAGCTGATTTTGAGCAGGCGCTGTTCGGATTGGGGGGAGAGGAGGAGGATCGCTGTTTGAGGATGCCCTCCAGAGGCTTTGGGAAGACTTTCTGGAGGCCCGCCTGGAGCCTTGTCGCCGAAAGGGGGGGAACGTCAAGGGCACTGATCGAAGACGCCTCCCCTTGGTCTCAACCTTCGGCCCCCAATCCCACAATACCCGACAACGTGACGTTTCCAAAGCGTGCCCCCCAATCCTATCGACCACGCCTCGGAAACGGATTTGCCCCAGATTGGCAAAATTGCTGGCTCAGGGTCCCTCGGCGGGGTGAATTTTTCAAGCTGCATCCATCCGCGGCGGCGAGATACTCAAAAATCTAACGAAACCCCCCGAAACGAAGACATCGACGGCGACGGCCACGACGACGACGACCTGACAGGCCACCACACCTCTCCAAGACCGCGCCATGACAAGCCGGCCATGGCCACGAGGGCTCACCCGCAGAGCCGCCCGCAGGAAGGGCAACACACGCCCAAAAACCTGAAACCTCAAACTTCGACCCTCGACGACGTCGTCGTCGGTCGGGCCTGCGGCTGCATGGCCAATCTGCGCGCCTCCTGCTGCTTCAGCTTGTACGCCGGATTGCGCCTTGAAGTGACCAGCCCCGGGACTGCCGGGGGGAGGTGCCCGGGAGCGCGAGCCCATGCCCCAGCGAGGAGAAGCGAGGAGGATGAGAAGGAGGGATGGAAGAGAACGAGGAGGAGAAGGATGGACAAGAAGGGTGCTGATGGAAGACCAGAAAAAAACGCCAAGACGCAACAAAGATGTTGCAACAAACTCTCCAAATTTCCTCGTCACTGGTCCCTAGAAGAATCATTTCATTGCGGGGCATGCCCCAGTGGAAGACAACCGTGTGATAATCATTGCTCCTGCCAAATCACCATTCCATGGACTTCAAAGCCGCGAATCAACGTGACGGTTGCGTTATGACAGTGTTAACCGTGCCAGGAAAGAAAAAACAAAATCCCAGGACTTCAACACTGCGCAGCAACGTGACTGTTGCGTCCTGACTTTCCTAACTCGTGCGCGCGGCGCTCAGGCGAGAGCCGCATTTTGAAAAGGAGCCGTCCTTCATCCTTGAAACTTTTGCAACAAGTCTCAAGCGAGTGCTCGCGGCGCCGTGGCGAGACCCACATTTCGAAAACCAGCTCCATCGTTGGAGCTGCGGCAAATTCTTAAAGGGAAAGTGCGCGGCGCTGAGGCGAGAGCAAAATTTTGAAAACCGCCTGCCCTCCATCCAGCAAGCTGCTGCAAATTTCAAGCTTCAAGATTATGCCTGGTGAGGGAGTCTCAAGCGTAACGCTAGGACCGCCCTGCCGACACGTCTGGGGGTACGACAGGGAGGAGTTATTCATGGAGAAACACCATGGAGGAGGGGAAACGGGGAGGAGGGAGGAGGGAGTGGGATTGGTATTGGAGGGATGCGGGACGAGGGAGAAGTAGGGATGAGACGGGAAGAGACGAGGGAGGATGGAGGGATGGGAGAGGAGGGAGGAGTGGAGATGCGGAGGGAAGGAAGAAGGAGCGGGGAGAATGCACGGAGCACCGGGGCGGCGGGAGGGAGGCGGAGGAGGGACCATATTATAGGGAGGAAGAAGAGAGGGCGGACAGAGGAAGCACCCCGAGTACAGAGGCGGCACCCCCCGAGCCCCGGAAGGAGGCGGAAGAGCGGAGAACGGAGAATGGAGGCGGGAGGAGGAGCCCTCCTCCTCCTCCTCCTCCTCCTCCTCCTCCTCCTCCTCCTCCTCTCACCATCACCTTCACCATCACCATCATCATCATCACATCATCATCATCATCATCATCATCATCATCATCATCATCATCATCATCATCAGCATCATCATAATCATCATCATCAGCAGCAGCAACATCATCATCAGCATCATCACCAGCATCAGCATCAGCATCATCATCATCATCATCATCATCATCAGCATCAGCATCATCATCAGCATCATCATCATCATCACCCTCCTCCCTCCTCCTCCTCCTCCTCCTCCCTCCTCCTCCTCTCATCCTCCTCTCCTCCCTCCCTCCTCCTCCTCCTCCTCCTCCTCCCTCCTCTCCTCCCCTCCCCCTCCTCCTCTCCTCCTCCTCCTCTCTCTCCCTCCTTCTCCTCCTCCTGCTCACCCTCCTCCTCCCCCTCTCCTCCTCCTCCTCCCCTCCTCCTCCCCCCCCCCCTCCTCCTCCTCCTCCTCCTCCTCCTCTTCCTCCTCCTTCTCCTCCTGCTCACCCTCCTGCTCCTCCTCCTGCTTCTCCTCCTCCTCGTCCTCCTCCTCCTCCTCCTCCTAGGAGGGAGGAGAGGGGGGAAGCTAGGTGCGCTTGCGCCATATCTGACATCCTGCACATCCCGCTCACCTCGTCCCAGTGCGCCCTTGTCTCTCTGTCCGCCGACGCGCCCCGCAACGTACCTGGATCTGCAGCGAAGACCTCGTCGTCTTACGCACAATTGGAAAAACGGAAGCTGCGCACATTGATACGGGGCGTGAAAACGACCACAGCCACTGCTTTTCTTTTGTCGCCGCCTTCCAGCCAGTAGAAACAAAGCAGTGGTTGTGGTCATTTTCGTTAAGCTTGGCACCAGGGAATACTTGAACACCTGCGCGTAAGAAAAACCGTTCCCAGAGAGGGCCGAACATCTTCGGGAACGAGTCAGGGTAGAGAGGAGAGTAACCCGGAGAAGCAATTAAGGAACCCCCCGGCGTTATCATTAGCACCGCGCCGTAATCAAATAATTATTTTGGGGGGTTTTCGCCGAGCGATATTATTAGCACCGCGCAAATGGGAGGAAAATAAATAATTCCAGCGCCCCGCCTCGGGTGGCATCCCAATTAGAATTGTAATGAGAATAAGAATTACCCCTGCGATCTGGTGTACCCCCTCCTGGTGCCAGGATAACGCTTCCGGGTGCCGGGTGCGTTATCCTTTCACCGGAGAGGGGGGGGGGGGGTCCTTAATCGCTTACTCGGGTTAGTATTCATAATCTGCGGTTGTGGAGAAGGAAAGTGAGGGAGGAGGCGGGGACACGGATAAGGGAGGGAGGATGGAGGAGAGGGAGGAGAGCATGAGGGAGACAGGAGTCTAGAGGATGAAAGAGGTGCCCCGAGGCCCCGAACGGCGGGGGGGAGGGGAGAGGAGGAAAGAGGCGGAGCAGGCAGAGGCGGAGGAGGAGGAGGAGGGGAAGGCGGACGGAGGAGGCTTCCCGCTGTGGGATGTGCGACAGCTCAGGGTCATCGATGTTGTGTGCCCCTCTTCTGCGGCCTCCTGCGCACCTTGCGGGACAACTTGACAGGCGCCGTCCCTGGATGGCTGGTTGCGGCACGGAGGCCGTGGTCGAACAAAGCCCTCTTACTCACTCGCCCACAGCATGCATCAGACGGAGTGCCCCGATCGCCCCCCACTGCGGGCGCGGCGGCAAGCGTCATGTATGGGCAAATCGCGGAGGCGCTCAGCTCCAAGAACACGCCGAACAACCGCAGGTTGAGGTGGCCGCCGGTCCGTCGGGCTTGCTGGTGCTGGCAAACAGGTTAGCGATGGTAGAAAGGCTGGGGCTCCACAAAGTGAACCGCTCCAATACCTCGAGGACTCGGTCACCCCATGCCCGTCCGTGGGCGCATGAGAACGATCTTCGACGAGACGCTCCGCTCAGTCTCAGCCCGCTACGCGCAATGGGCAAGGGCAGCCGTCAGTTTCGGGGCGGAACGATCCGCTTGCATGGTGATCGGAGCCGGGCCGCTGTCGACGAGGATGGGGTTCGATGAGATGCAGGCAGGGGGGATCCTGGGCATAAGTGGACGCCGAGCTGTCCTTCCAGCCGCTTGTCGCTGAGTTCTTGGGGAAAAGGCACAACTAGGAACCTTAGAGGGACTGTACCGTGCGGCGGAGGTAGGCGGATTGCCCGTCCCAGTGCTCGCTGCGCAGGTTCCCTCCGGGTGGAGCAGGGTGCCCTGTTCGGTGCCACTTTTCTACAAGCGCGAAGGAAGCCCTGTGGCACAGAACCCTGTTCGGTGCAACGGTACTTGCTGGGGTCGCCGAGATCGAGACCATCCTCAACGGCTTGCAGAACAAGTGGGCGTGCTGTATCCTCTGCTGCCAGCGGGGCCCATGTCTAAACTGGGCGTTGTGCCTTGCCCAGCTAGGTTGGGAGATTCGGCTTGGGACCTTGATGCTGGAGCTGGCCATTGTGGCGCGTGCCCCGCTGCTGCTCATATCAGGGGCACACCCGGGGACGGCGATGAGGGAGGCGGCGCTGCGGTCTCTCGCCTGCTCGCGGTGGCAGCGTGCGGGTAAGCGTATGGTCAGCATGCCCTGGGGGTCAATCAAGGACATCACTGAGACGGAGAGCTTGGCTAGCGGCGCCCAGAGCAGCGGAAGAAGGTGCTTCGGAGGTGCCCGAGGGAGGTCGTGCGGGCCGCGCTCAGACAGTACGATCGAAGACCGTCTGTGGCCGCGGCGGGCGGGCCGATCCCAACATTGGGCCTGACCTCCGGCGAGCTCCAACCCGAAGTCTGGTCCTGGAAGATGCAGGAGCTGCAGGCGGAGAGCGACAGGATAGTGAACTGGCGCGTGTGGCCAGTGTGCCGGGTGAGAGGCACATGTCCTCTCCAGGTGCTGGGGCTAGGCGGGACCCCCGTGCAGCTGCCACAGTGCCGAGCGTGCGGCGCCGAGGCAGTGGACGTCTTGCCCGCCCCGGCGGCATGCGCGGGCCCCAGCGAGAGGGGGCGGACGCATGCCGGTGGAGGCGTTGTTTGGGCTGGACGTCCCTGGAGCACACACGCACGCTACGTGGGCCGGGCATTGCGGACGTGCGCTCCAGAGTGCCCTGCCAGGCTGGGCATGACTGGGGGGGCTCCGCGCTCCCTCTCTTCGCGGGCGAGCGCGGCGAGCGGGGGAGGCTTAATGCGGCGAAACAGGAGGTAGGAAACAGGAGGGGAGAGAAAAGAGAGAGGGGAAGCAACTGATCAACGTCCACCTTCCATACCCTCCTGTTTACCCACCCACAGACCTCCGACGCCCCTGTGTGGGAAAACGTGGCACCCCGACCACTCGGGGTGGGGCACATGTCTGTTCATCTGTGATCGTGCTGTTCACGGTCCCCCAGCCCAGAAAACGGTTCCTGAATGCCAGACGTGGCGAGGCATTGGGGCTCTCCCTCCTCTGTCCCGGGGTGCGCCCCGAACCCCGACTTCAGGAGGGGTCCAGCCGTGGCGACGAGATGGTCTCGACCCTGACCCTCGAACCTCCAGGCCGAGTATTACAAAATGAATATACGTAAACAAAGAGTGAAAGTATGGATATTCGGAGGTCCGCAATATTTCCCTGGGCTGGCGCTGGACACCATTGCCCCGGCGCGCTGGGGGCGGCCCCAGAGGCGGCTCCAGGGGGGGGGGGACATCGCCGACTCAAGAAAACCGCGCGGACCTCTGACAGGTTTTGTCCGTCGAAGAGTGGAAGAGAAACCCGCAGCCACCCTGAGGGGCTGGGGGGGGGGGGGGCAACAGAATGGGCCCGCGCCCCCGCCCTCCTCCCCCCAGCGATGGGGGCATCGCCCGTGCCCGCGCGGTGCGCCATCGCGGGGCTGCGGGCCTGGCCAGCGCGGCATGAGGAGGGGAGGACTCGAGAAGGGGAGGAGGAAGGGGGGGACTCGGCCAGCGGGAGGAGGACTCGAGAAGGGGGGGAGGAAGGGGGGGATGGTCGAGTCGGGAAGGCGCAGCACGAGAGAGCGGGCAACCACTCTGGATGCCAACCGAGGGACGCACGGGCCACCGGACCTGCAGACCGACCCTCGTGAGCCTGAAGCAGCCTCTGCTGACAAAAATGGGAAGCGAGTTGGGGGCCTGAGGCCTATGGCAAACAGACCCGTTGGACACCTACGTCCCATCCAAATAACACATCTGAACTGAAACAAAAATATTGACAAAGAAGCCGGCAAGAGGCGAGGGGAACAAGACGGGAAGAGGCAGAAACGATGACGGGAGGGACGGGGGGAGAGGAGGACGGGGGAGAAAGGAGGACAGAGGAGGGAGGATGATTACCGCCCGTTCACAATTGTGTTCAAAATTGGGCCTCCGATGAGATCCGCTCACCATGGTCGAACTGAGAAAATAGGGACGCTTGAACCAAAACCCATAGACGGAAAATGTCTTAAACCACGGACGAGGGGGAGGATGGGGGAAGTGAATACTTAGAAAATGAAGGGGGATCTAACTACCTGCCACGCCATGAAGAGATAGAGCGCTTGGTTCTCCCGGTGGGCAGTACTGCGTAGTAGGCCTGAGTCGCCCTACTTCGCCCTACTGTTGCCACTCGTGGGGTTGGAGGGCATTCCAACTGCAGCGTCGAAGTGACGCGCGGGGACCTCCCCCCCCTGCTCGCAAGGTCGAAGTAACCGTTCTAGAACGCTTTCAAGGATTCTACGACAATTCGGGAAGATATCTTTGGAAATGGATTCCGCGTTCGGGTCGGGGCCGCATTCTTTGCTGCGGCTTCTTCAGGGTTCCAAAAATTCTGCCTGCCTTCACCGTCCGAACTCCTACATGGATGCGTGCGTGTTGGTTGCGAGCTTGCGTTATGGCATACTTGCACGATCTCTTGTCCAACGCATGCGCTAGGTTGATCCGGCCCATTGAAAATCATGGTTCTTGTTCGCAGAGCTTGACAGATGTGCCGCAAGCGTGCCGTGCCGCGCCGCGCCTGGTCTTCAAACTGCGAAACATGCGCCGTCAAGCAGACGAAGCACGCACGACAATATTGGCATGGTCGCATTGGGATTCTGCGAGCAAGACATGGACTCTTTGAGCGTACTTTGCAATATGATGGCCCAGTGCCGCAACGACAGGTCAGCTGTCGCAGGTTGACCAAGTTGCCTGCATGGGGGTTGGCAATGCATTGGGGCCCTGCGGGACGCGCGGATGCGTTCGGTATCAAAACTTCCGTGGCAACTTGGTACAATGCGCGGCGCGAGGATATGTCCGACTCAGACGGCTTCGCCAACCTATATGACCCTGGCGGGGCACGGATGCGCTCAGCACCGAGGGTTTCGTGGCACTGTGAAATCATTTGAGATGCGCGGATGTGTTTGTTGCCGAGGGTTTCGTGGCACCAGGAGACTGCGCGCAACTCGGGGATGTGCTCGGGGCTGAGGGTTTCGTGGCATTGCGAGGCTGCGCGAAGCGCGCGGATGCGCTCGACGCCGAAGTGTTCGTGGCACTGTGAGATCCTGTGAGACGCGCGGGTGTGCTCAGCGCCACCTGGCGACCATGTGAGACTCGTGGATGTGATCGGCGTCGAGGGTTTCGTGGCACTGTGGGCCCGCGTGAGACTCGTGGATGTTCTCGGCGCCGAGGAGTTCGTGGCACTTTGAAACCTTGAGGTTGCCGTCGTCAAGGACGTGTCGGGGACCGCCGAAGGGGCGCACATGGTGTGTAAAATGCTACCGCTTAGGCAGGGTTTGAAACCCGTCTGGCGCATACTCGCTATGATACTGACTCAGGGGTCGGGGAATCTCAAGGCGGTTCGAGCGCGGAGGGGCCGCCGCCCTGTCGCACCATCCGTCACGTACTTTCAGCAGGCTTTGTGGCCCACGTCGGCTCAGCGTGCGAGCAGCGCCCGATGTCACAGCGTGGGGCTGTCCCGGGCATGCTGTGCACGCAAATGCAACGTCATGAAACATGCGCACCTACGTGTCCAAATGTCAGCAGGCTTTAGTAGGCCGGGTCAGCCCCGCCGATGCGACTCAGGGGTCGTTTTGGTAGGCGCGCTGGGCCTTGCATCTTCAACTCGCGAAACGACGAGGTCCGCCTCGTAGCCCTGCTAATGCGAGTCGGGGGTCGTACTATCAAGCGTCGTTCGCCCTACTCGTTGGCGTCCTGAGCCGCGCTTGAACGACGCGCGGGGCGAAGGGGGTGCGTGCTACGTAAGGACAACGCGCCTACTAGCACGACATTGGGGGGGCGCCCTTGTGAGCGAACGTGGCCCTGCAACTAAAACTTTGAAGTCGTACTCGTAGGTGCCATCAGCCCTAGTGGTGCGACCTCCTAATGCAGCTGGCGGGGTGGCGAACCTTGCTCGATTGGCAAAAATACTCCTGCTTGAGCATGCGAAGCGATTGTCGAAATGTCGCGTTGCCAGGCAATCGCGCCGCTACTAGTGCGAAGCAGGGGGTCATGCCAGCACGAGCACGCGCAGTGACAAATGCGACTCGGGCGTTCGCACTGTCGCGCGGTGTAGGGGCACAATAATCGTATTAGTTCCGCTTGGAAAATCATGATGATACGTGTGCTTCGTTCGCCCTACCCGTGCGAATGAAATTACACTGTCACGGCTTGCCAGGTGAGGAAGGGGGGCAAAGAGGCGCCCACTCGTCGGGCCAACGTAGCCTAACCGGTACGACTCGAGCGATTCGTTCTGGTAGGTTCGTGGGTCGCCCCACCGGCACGACTCGCGGGGCGGGGCGGCGCGCCCGAAGTGTCCGAACACCTCGACTGGGACGATTCGGGCGGCCAATTTGCCTGCGTCGCCGGGCCAGTAGGGCGCAAGGGGACGCACCGAGAGCAACCGAGAGCAAGGAGGTTGCTCTCGAAAAAATCCAAGTACGCCCACTTGCACTTCTCGGGCGGTCTTAGGAGTTGGCTGAAGTACGCCTACTGATACCACTCGGGGGGGCGTGCAGGCAGGGCCGTGCGACTTACAACAACAAATTGACGTTTCCATTGAGCCCTAGTTGTGGCGCCCTTGTGATGGAGCCCTCGCAGAATCGATGTAGCCGTGTGTGCACCACTCGAAAGGTCCTACAAATAGGACCGGTCAGCCTAACACCATTGCGACTCGGGGGTCGTTTTGGTGAACGCACGTAGGCGTACATGTACGACTTACGGGTTGATGAGGGCCTACTCGAGGCCCTAGTAGTGCAAATCGCGGGGCGTACTAGCAGGTGTCAATTTCCATACTCGTTGGCGTACTGGGCCGTGCTTGAACGACGCGCGGGGGGCCCTACCTGCACGGTCACACAGCCTAAACGCACGACTCGGACGGCGCATGCGTAAACGAAAGAGGCCCCGCAACTAGAACACGGAGGTCGCACTATCGTGGGAGCCTTACTCGTTGGTCAAATCTGTGGCGATGCCAACCTCGCATGCCCGAAATCCACCAACTTGAACTTACTGGGCGGTTGTTTACCGCCACGCTGCTATGCAAACGCGCGCGTGCCAATGCGAAACGGGAGGTCATACTAGTAGGCGCGCGAAATTCTACGAATGCGATTCCGGTGATTGCACTGCGTGGAGGGGCTCGGGCCCAAACGTTCCCACTTGCTCGGCTCGGACATTTGCAATGCAAGGTGTGCTTCGATACCGTGCTGTTACGACTTGAGAAGCGAAAAGGGGGGCAAGGAGGCGCCGCCTCGCAGGGCGAACGCAGGCTAGCACGCGCATCCAGGGCCATTCGCTGAAGAAATCTGGGTAGCACAACTGGTGCGATTCGCGGGGCGGGGCGGCGCTTTCCGATGGGCCCAAGTAACTCGACTGGGTCGTCTCGGGGGTCATACTTGTAAGTTTTTCCGCGCTCGTACTGGCAAAACTGAGGGAGCCGAGCGAGCCGCACGAATGCCTGCTACGACGACAGGGAACCGGAAGGTCGCACTCGCAAGCTCCAAATAAGCCTGCGGATGCTACCCAGGCGGCCATCCTACTTCAGCCGAAGTACAGCTACTTCGCCCGTTTTTCCTGTCCATTTTGAAGCTTGCAGGCGGATGTTGCAGGTGATCACATCCTCGGGGTCGCCGGGTAGCTTCGGCGAGTGTAGAGGCCCTCTTGAGGCTGGCAAGTCCGGGCCTGAACATCCACCAGACGCGACCCCAAAGAGTTCATTGCGGAATCCTGGTTCGCCAAGTTCGTCTCCGCGGCGCGCGCGTACGCGCCAGCCAACGTGCGCAGGAGAGAACGAGGGCCCGCTTCGCCTGCAAATGGAACGTTGCACGGATGGGGGGGCCATTCTTCGACATAAGGTTCTCTGGACATTTCGCTCTACTGCGCGATCACTGTCTGGTCATAATGTTCGTGTTCATGGTCTCGCGCCCCGAAGATATAAAGAAGTTCCTTGCACAACGGGAACATCGCCCAAATGACAGGCCCATCTGGTGCTGGTTGTTCAAGGGGGCGCCCCTTGAAATGAAGAGAAAATCTTGTTCGGACGCATGAAGAAGGGACTTCGGGCGGGAGGGTGTGTTGCAACATCTCTGATGCATTTTGGGTTAACTGTGGTCATCGTCCTTCGTCCTTGTCCTTTTACTCACCCCCCTTGCCTATGCACCCGACGACATAAAAAAGGCCCCTGCTCTTATTCATTGGCGTATTTCCTCGCCGTCCTCCGCATCCTCTTCCATTTCCTCTTCCTCGCCGCCCTCCGCCCCCTCCTCCTCCCTTCCTCCTACTCAACGCTACCTTCCTTTCTCTCCTCCTTCCTTCCTTCGCTTCCTTCTGCTGCTGACTGCTCTTCCGCCTGCTCCTCCTCCTCCTCCTCCTCCTCCGTGTCATCCGTGCTGACTTATGCAGCGGCATGGGCCGCCCCCGAAACGCGCTCGCGCGCCCGCGGCCCCCCAGCGAGGCGGGCGGCCGACCGGCGCGAGTGCGGGGGCCCCCCCGAGGCCACGAGGGGGCCCTTTTCCGAAAAGACGGAAGAGGGCGGAGTGCCATCTGCCCATCCTCCGTACCATTCTGATGAGGCCTCCGAGGAAGGGGGCCGGGAGGAGCGGCAGGGCCAGTCAAGGGATGTCGCACATGTACTTGTCGTAGATACAATACAGTCGAGGTCACATCGTACGCGGAACACCTTGTCTGTAGCGCTGTATACGTGGCACGTGCACGTAATAGCCTTGCCCGCAGCGCTATAGAGCAAGCGCAGTCGGCATGAGAAGAACATTAAATGTTGAAGTGCCATAATCAGCGGGTTCTGGAAGGTAGGTCTCACCGTGCTATAGCGCCATCCGATCGTAAACTACGCCGAACAGGCTATATCGTCGTTGAGCACGTCGAGAAAGAAGTGGGTGACCCAAGGCTGGTCCTCCACGGACGCGAGGTCATACAGCCGCTCGAACACGCAATCGCTTCTCACCGGGTCGTGAAAATGGTAAGCTCGGATCGCCTATTGGTGCATGACGGCGAGCCGCCTCTTGGGGTACTCCTCGAGGGGCTCAGTGTTGGTGTTCGTAACGCTCATGGTCACCGATCTCGCTCTCAATGTCCAACGCTCCGCGGTGGTATCCCACGCGCCCACAGTACCCTCGAGGCGATTAGGGTGCTTCTGGCCTTTAAGCCTGGCTACTCGGGCTGGCACCCCTTGTCGTAGCCCTGCGTGTTCGGATACTTCGGTTTGTTCTTGTAGTCCGGCTCGTTCTGCTGGTGTTTCTCGTACCACAGATGGTTGCCCTCGTCGCTCCACAGGTGGTCCTCTTTGGCTCTGATGGCGGCGATGCCTCTTCAGCTTGTTAGCCAGATAGCTCAGCAGGCGGTCCTGGTAGCCGTGATGGTGGCCCTGGGAAGTCTGCTTGTGGCCCGTGCAGTTGAGCTCGTCGCCTTGGTAGCTCTGCGGGAGGCTCTCGTAGTTCTGCTTGTGGCCCTCGTAGCGCAGCTGGTGGCCCTCGTAACTCGCGTAGCTGTGCCTGTGATCCTCGTATATCAGCTCGCAGACCTCGAAGCTCAGGATGTGGCCCTTGTAGTTTTACAGATGGACCTCGTGGCTGTCTGATGACAGTCGGAATTTTGCTCATTGCTCCCGTAGCTGAGCAGGTGGTTTAGGTAGGTCACCTGGTAGTCCACGTTGCTCTGCTGGTGGCCCTCGTATCTGAGTTGGTGGCCCTCGTGACTTAACTGGTGGGTTCGTAGCCTTCATTGTGGATCACGTAGGTCAGCTCGCGATCCTCGTAGCTCAGCTTGTGGATCTCGTGGCTCTGCTGGTGGCTCTCGTAGCTCGGCAGATGGAACTTTGGGCACTTCTGGTGGCTCTCGTGGAGGTGCATGTGGTCCTTGTCGTTCTGCTCGTGGTCCCCGAAGGTCGTCTAGGTGGCCTGGGTAGCTCTGCTTGTGGCTGTAGTAGCTTGGAGGGTACGCTCTCTTGGCAGTCCTCGAAGTCCGAATCGAAGCTGTCGGCTGTTCAACCGTAAAGTGCCACTGCCTGGACGCCAGAGTAGTGCCGGGCGTCGTAGACAAGCAGGTCGCTATCGGAAAAGCCCCCGCCGTACTCGTAGTAAGCGGGTCGGCCATGGTCGCACTCGTCGTAAACGACGCGGCCGTTGGCCACCAGTACCTCGACGACGTACTGAATAACCCCATTCGGGCTGTTCGGTCGCGTCGTTGCTGGTGTTTGTTTTGTTGGCGTGCTTCGTGTCGGAATGGTGATGGCACGCGTCCTTGGCTGCCTGTTACCCAGCTTATTCTCGTACATGGGCTGCCTGTTACGCAGCTCGTTCTCGCACTGGGGATGCCTGTTGCGCAGCTCGTGATTCGTCGCTCCAGCGGGGGCCTCCTTAGCAATGATGGTGGGCGCCATGTTCCTCTATGGGCGCACGGTCTCGACATCGTGGTACGTGTCCACGTACGTAAGTGGGTAAGTCCCGTAGCCCTGCAGTTCAACAACCAGTGGTTGATGTTGTAGTCGTGGTAATTCCCTCTCTCGCGGATGGTCTCCCACTGGTGGATGATGTTGCGGCGCGAGGACCCGGGGCCAGATGGCCTTCCATTTCCTGCTCTTCCTCATGATCCTGCGCCTCCCGCTCGTCCGCCGTCGCCTCATCCTCCTTCGCCATCCTCCCCCTCGACATCCCCCCCCGCCTCCGCCCTCGTCCCCTCCGCCCTAAGGCCTTTGAACCCGCGGGGGAGGCAGGCGGCCGACTCAACGAGGAGGCGGAGGGGAGGGGAAGCTGAAGGAACGAGGAGGAGAGAGAGAGAGAGAGAGAAAGAAATAGAGATGAACATTGGCGGTTCGAATATCGGGTCCCGAAGGATGGGGCCCTTTGGGGCAAGGGGGCCTCGAGCAAAGCCAACTACACCTGGGCGATGATCAAAAACGGGCCTTACGCGAGATGGCATAGAGAACTCACGCGGTGGCTTACGCGGGCCGCCAGCGCGTTACGCTACGCTAGGAAGCGCGGGCGTTTACGCGCGACCTTACGCGAGCAGCTTACGCGCCAGTGTCGGAGCAAATGGCTCCATTTGTTCGTCGCCCACCTGGCGGTAAACGGAAACCCTGGACCCCCAAATGATGTCTTCTCTTGGGGGCACCTCTTTCACTTCCGCCGCCTTCGCTGGCCTTCCGCCGGTTGCCGCCGGCGGAGCCGCTCCCGTTTTGCTTCCCCCGCCTTCGGCCGACCTTCCGCTGGGGAAGAGATGTCAATTCCTTCGATCTTCTACGGCGAAGGCCTCCCTGGAACACCCCACATGGGCTCATGGGGGCTCCCCTATCTCTAGGGCCCCGCCAATCAGAGCCCCACCTACACATCGTCGAAGAGGAGGCGGCGATGACGACGACGACGACGACGACGACGACGACGACGACGACGACGACGACGACGACGGCGGCGACGACGACAACGACGAAGCCGACGGCGGCGGCAACGGCCCCGCGCGCAAGGCCCGGAGGCAGCGCGCCCGCAGGCAGCCGCGCGCGCGCGGGCGGGGTGGGCGCGGCCGCCACCGGGCCAGCGGCCCGCGCCCCTCCGCCCCGGATCGGCCCGCCTCGCGCGCCGCTGGAGCCAGCGGGGGGAGCACGGTCCGGAGCTTCTGCACCGCGCGTCGGGGGGGTCGGCCGACAACTGATGCCGAACACGCTCGGGACGGCGTTTGCTTCACACGTTGTCAATGTTTCGGTGTTCGGGCAACCAGGACGGAATGGCAGCGGCATTCCAAAGCGGAAACCAAACTGCAATGCAAAACGGGTCCGAGACAAACACGGCGCGAGTTTCTGCCGACCTTCGGCCGCCTTCCGCCGAGGAAGGAGCTCCCCTATCTTTAGGGCCCCGTCCCTCAGAGGCCCATCTGCGAACCGCCGAAGAGGCGAAATAAGAACTGCACCCATGGGGAAACCAAGATACTCAAATACCGTTACTCCCTGGACCTCTCCCAGGGTGCGTTCTGACCAGGAATTCGAAGTGAATCCTGCGGTGGCGACGGGGCTCCCAGGAGGCCGAAACATGCCTATACGATACCTGTTCCTCCCCAGACTCCCTGGATCCTCGAAGGCTTAAGAACCTCCCTGGAGTGCGCCATAACGCCTGAGCCGTGTCCAGATCTCCGGTGGCTCAAAGAGAGGATCCTGAGGGATGGGGACCTAAGGAGATGAAGGGGTCCAAGTGTGGACTTCTGTTGTTTGAGGCAACTCGTCCTCAGGACCCCATCCCCTGCACTCACGAGCCATCAACCGGCGCGCGCGCCGCCCCCGCGCGCCGCTGTCTCCGCTGCCGACGAGCTCGAGGGCTGCGGCGGGCGGGCCGCGCCGCCCATTCGCCCGCCGCGCCGTGCCGTGGCGCGCGTCGGAGCGGCAGACGCCGGGCGGGGAACGAGGAGGGGGAGGAGGACGGAGAGGAGGGGGAGGAGGGGAGAGGAGGAGGGGAGGAGGACGAGAGGAGGGGACGAGGAGGAGGAGGAGGAGGAGGAGGAGAGGAGAGGAGGAGGAGGAGGAGGAGGAGGATGAAGAGGAAGAGCAGGAAGGAGGGGAGGAGGAGGGAGAGGAGGAGCAGGAGGAGAGGAGGACGAGGAGGAGGAGGGAGGAGGAGGAGGAGGAGGAGGAGGAGGAGGAGGAGGAGGAGGAGGAGGAGGAGGATTAGGTTAGGCTAGGCACTCCACTGGGGCGGCCACCCCTGGACAGGCACCGTGGCCCCTGCCTGGCACGGCAACCCCGTGACGTCTCTCGGTCCCACTCGCCGCTGGGCCCGCAAGAAGAACACGAGCCTCCGTGGGGCCAGGCCGCCCGCGCCTCGCCCGAGCCCTCAGCCGCGGCGTTCACGCGCCACCAACTTCTCACGGAAGGCTCGATTGCGGGCACGGTCGAACTCGACGTCGTCTGGGTCGTCGCGCTCCCAAGGCGGGACGTCATCCGTGTCGCTCTCGCTGGCGTACTCCTTCATCGTGGTGGGGTTGACGATGCCCTCCAGCTCCGTCTGCTTGCCCTCGCCGTGGGGGGCGAAGAGATCAGAGCTGTGAGGCACCTGCTCCACGGCGGGCTGCTGCACCGCCTTCGCAATCTTCACGTTGGCGACGTCCCCGAACATCTTCATCGTGCCGGGAGTGGCGATGCTCTCGAGCTCCTTCTGCTTGCCCGCATACTCGTCACCGGCAGGGCACACGGGATGGCCGAGGGTGTGCTGCACTACCTTCTCGATCTTCTCCTGAACGCCGTCGCCAGCGCCGCGGGCCTGAGCGTCTCCCCCGTGAAAGTCCCCGTCGGCTTCACGGGAGGCCCCCCTGCAGATTCCAGGCCGTCGCTTCTGCAGGGGGCACTCAGGCCCGATCCTCTCGGACTTCTCCAGGCCGCCGTCCTCATTGGTCGTGATAGGGTCAACGATGCCATCCAGCTCCGTCTGCTTGCCCTCCTCGCTGGGCGCGAAGAGATCAGAGCACGGGGACACCTGCTCCGCTGCGGCCTGCTGCGCCGCCTTGTCGATCTTGGAAAGAGCGTGTTCTACCGCTGCTGGCGGAAAACCGGGGGGGTCACTACCGGTTCGAACCCCCCCCCCCCCCCCCCCCCCCGGAAAACCGGGGGGTCACTGGTTCGAACCCCTCCCCCCCCCCCCACCATCATGAAAAGGGGGGGGGTCACTACCGGTTCGAACCCCTCCCCCCCCCCCTCGAAAACCGGGGGGGGTCACTACCGGTTCGAACCCCCCCCCCCCTCGAAAACCGAGTGGGGGTGCGGACAGTGGTGGGGACGGTGTTGGTGGGGACAGTGGTGAGGGGATAGCGGGACAGTGGTGGGGACAGTGGGACAGTGGTGGGGACGGTAGTGGTGGGGACAGTGGTGGGGACAATGGTGGGAACAGGGGGGGACAGTGGACAGTGGTGGTGACGGTGGTGGTGGGGACAGTGGTGTGGGGACAATGGGAATGAGGTGGAAACAGTGGGACAGTGGAGGGTACAATGGTGGTGGGGACAGTGGTGAAGGCGGTGGCGAGGACGGCGGTGGGACAATGGGACAGAGGTACAGTGGGGACAGTGGTGGGGACAGTGGGGACAGTGGTGGGAACAGTGGGACAGCTCAGTGGGACAGCGGAGGAGTCAGTGGGACAGTGGGGACAGTGGGGATAGTCGGGCAGTGGTTGGGGCCGTGGAGACAGTGGGGAGAGTGGAACCGTGGTGGGAACAGTTCTGGGGACAGCGGGGACAGTGCGACAGTGGTGGGGCCACTGGTGGGGACAGTAGGGGCGGTGGTGGAACCAGTGGGGACAGCGGTGGTGAGGACAGTGGTGCTGGGAACACCAGTGGGGGATGTGATGCGGACGGTGGTGGGGACCGGGAGTCGTTTGCTGGCGGTGAGTAGGGGGGGGGGGGGGGGGGGGGGGGGGTTCGAACCGGTAGTGACCCCCTCCGGTTTTCCGGATCCGAAGGGTAAGGGGGGGGGGGGGGGGGTTCGAACCGGTAGTGACCCACCCCGGGTTCCGGATCCGGAGGGGAGGGGGGGGGAGGGGTTCGAACCGGTAGTGACCCCCCCGGTTTTCGAGCGGGAGGGGGGGGGGGGAAGGGAAGGGGTTAGGGGAGGGGGGGGTTTTGCCGGGGGAGAGGGGGGGGGGGGGGAGGGGTTCCAGCAGGGGGGGGAGGGGATTTTCGGAGGGGGGGGGGGGGCGACCCCCGGGCTCCGGAGGAAAAGGTTGGCAATTTTCCACAGTAAAAGGCGGTGGATCACGCTCTCTCCGATCTTGACGTTGCCGTCGTCCTCGCGCGCGTTGGTCTCCCGCTCCTTCTGCTTGCACTCCCGCTCCTAGAAGAGAGCCGTAGCGCCGTCCGCCTCGTCCTTCTGCACCTGCATCTGGCCTTCGCGGCCCTCGGAAAAGAGCCCCAGCGCCGTCCTTCACGCTGGAGTCGCTCTCCGAGGGCTCCACCGAGGCCATCGCCACCTGGCCAGCCCGCGGCCGACCGCGCCGCTGGCCCCGCTGTTTCTTCTTCTTCTTCTTCTTCTTCTCCTCGGTCTCCAGGATCAGCACGTCGGCGCCCTCGCCGATCCCCACGTGGGCCGCGAAGTTGCGCTCGAACCGTACACTGCCTGGGACTGTCTTGCCCGCCAGCTGGAGGGGAGCGCCTTCTCGATGGCCACCAACCGCGCAGCGAGCCCGACCTGCTCCTCGCCGTCGAGCTTCTCGCTGTGCGGCGCCGTCTCGTAGATTAGCGCCACTCCAGTCAGTGCGCATCACGGCAGCGACTGCGGCGGCGAGGTGCTGGCGTCCTCCACCTCCCTCAGCCGTGCCAGCCGCTGCCGCTCGCACCAGTGGCGCCAGTGCCACGAGGAGCTGGCATCGTTCAGCCGCAGCCATTGCCTTCGCCTCCATCGCAAGAGGCCGCGCTAGGGGAAGGAGACTGAGCCGCTCTCCGCGCCTGCCGAGATGACAGGACTCTACAGAGAGAAACATCGCGCGCACCGCCCGCCTGGCGCCCAAGGCAGGCTTGAGCCAAAATGGCTACGGAGGAGGAGGAGGACTAGGAGGGGGAGAGCCAGCAGGGTGATGATGTTGAGGATGATCGGACGAAGAGGAGCGGAAGTGGATGAGGAGGAGGGGGAGAGCGAGGAGGGTAAGGAGGAGAAGGATGAGGAGATGGAGGAGGAGGAGGAGGAGGAGGAGGAGGAGGAGGAGATGGAGGAGGAGGAGGAGGCGAAGGAGGAGCAGAACGAGGAAGTGGCTGATAGGGGAGCACGGAGGAGGAGGACGGTAGGGAAATGTTGCTTAGCTTGTCGCGGCGGCGGCCCCAGCGACACGCTATGCCCTGCAAGCGGACAGTGTGTCGCTTTGGTCCATGTGCTGTGAGGCCAGTAAAGCTGGAGGGCACGGCACAGAGGTCGTGGCTGCAAGAATGCGATACGTGGGCGGACTCAAGTCGAGGACGAGGAGGAGGGGGAGGAGGAGGAGGAGGAGGAGGAGGAGGAGACCTAACGCCACAGGGTAACCTTAGGTTGGTCCAGCGTAAGACAGAGGAGGAGGAGGAGGAGGAGGAGGAGGAGGAGGAGGAGGAGGAGGAGGAGGAGGAGGACGACGAGGCCCCGCGGGGACAAGGGTCGGGAGGAGGCCGAGGCGCTCCAGAGGCCACCAGGGGCCTCCAACAGGGCCCCCCAGTGGACGCCTCCAGAGGCCTCACGGAGGTCCCGAGAGGCCCAGCATCCTGAGATCACCGCCTCTGGAGGCCACCCAAAGAAGAGCGAGGCCCAAGAGGGCCTCCTGATCAGAAGGCCTCCTGATCAGAAAGGCCACCCAGAAGGCGTCCCGAGGACCCCGATAGCCTCCTGCATCCTTGCGCTGAACGCCTCCCAAGGACTCCGAAGGCATCCCCCGCAGAAGGGTTCCCGCAGAAGGCCTCCCCGGCAGGGCCGTCCGAAGGCCTCGCGCGGCGGCGCGCGCGAGCGGGGGGCGCGGCTCGAACGCGCTCCCCTACGCGGCGCCCGCCGCAGCGTGGCCGTCGGCGCTGGCACCTTCGTCGGCCTCGTGGGCGCCGGCCTCGTCGGCGTCGGCGTCGGCGGCGTCGGTGTCGGCGTCGCCTCGGAGGGGCGTGCCCCCCGCAGAGGTCCCCCGATTGCTACAGTCGGGGGCTTTGGTTCGCGTGTCGCATCGGCGGCCCCGGCGACGCACTGTCCCGTTTGAGCGGCTGGCGTGTCGCTCCGCTCCGCGGGGCCAGAGGCTCGGAAAGGATCGGCACGTTGACGCTTGAGGGCCGGGAAGTGGCTACCGTGTCGCGCCGAAGCGCGGTGGACCAGAACTGGCGGAGCGACACGCTATCGACGTTCCCGAATCACGGATCCGTGGATCTGGCGCGTGCGCACCAGACTCATGGATCGGGGATGGCCACGCCCCCGCTCGGTTTGGCGACGGAGCGCGCTGGAACTGCACGGAAGTAGGGTCCCAGGCTAATCCACGCGCCTTTATCCATGTTCTGGCTTCCTCGGCCCTCGAGAGGCATCGTGGATCGAGGATCAATGTTTGTGGACGTCCGGGGGGCTCTTTTTGATGGGCATCTGGTGGGCCTCCCGCCGTCATGGCTGGATCCGCCTCGAAGGTTCGTCCAGGCGCTGACTCGTTGAGGCTTACGGGGGCGGGTGGGGCCCACCCTGCTGTTCCTCCTCCTGGTAAGTTTTGCTCTCGACTCAGTCCCCCTATCTGCAGCTCCGTTTTCGTCCTTCACCTCCTCCCCCTTCCCCCGCTTCCCCCTCTCCCCATCAACCCTCCCTGCCTTCCTCAGCTTATCATCGTCCTCGTCCTCGTCCTCGTCCTCGTCCTCGTCGTCCTCCTCCTCCTCCTCCTCCTTTTCCTCTGTCATCCTCCCGGCTCGTTTCTCCCTGAATACGTCCGTCCCAAATTCTTTCCCCTTCTCACTCCCTTCTCGCTCCCTGCCTCCCCATGCTCAACACGTCCGCACCTGGTGCAAACATACTTCCCGTACACAATTGTGCCGACATGTTGCCACTGCCGCGCAGCCCTCAGTGGACAAGATCGATGCTGTTCTGAACGACTGTGACGCCGCAGGCTGACCCTGCGCTGCTCGAATATTTGGTGGCCTTCCGTGTAAGTTCTGCTCCCGACGTTGCCCCAGCTCGGACAGGCTCGACTAGACCCCAGGAGGAGGATCAAAAAACTCTACGCATTCCAAGACTCCGACATGGGCCCCCAGGTTGAGCAGGGACCAACCGCCCCGGCATTCCTATAGGCCTACAACGATATGGTCCTAGAACCCCAAAAATGTTCCAAGAACAAAAACAATGTTCGCAGAACGTAAGCCGATGGCTTAAAACAAGACAATCCCAGCACAAGCCCTTTCAATAACATTTCGTGGAAACCACAAAAGGCTCTGAGAACGTTGTTTGGTAGGCCTATAGGCACGCCAGGACGCTTCGCCACTGCTTGACCAGGTACCAGCGCCAGTGCCCGCAGAATGCGCTCCGACCCCGGCTCGCACTCCGGCTTCTGATGGCCCCCTGCTCCCCTCCCAGAGGCCTCATTGATATGGAAGCCTCGGCAAGGCGGGCGTACCTAGCTGCATCCGGCTTCGTGAGCCCCACCCATTTATCGTCACCTCATTTCGAGATCTCGAAATTAGCAGAAGGATCCACAGCATGCCGTAGAACCTATATTCAAGAAACACAAGAGGTGTGGGATGGAGGGAAACAAAAGCGTGCCTCAGACAAGCTCGTCCCCGCCGCGCAGCTGGATGCTGCGCCCGAGAACCCATCTCTCCTCACCTCCGTTGCCTGCGCCTCCCCTCCCCCCATAGAAGGGGGGGGAAGAGGAGGAGGAGGAGGTGGAGGAGGAGGAGGAGGAGGAGGAGGAGGAGGAGCAGCAGCAGCAGCAGGAGGAGGAGGAAAAGGAGGAATGGAAGAATGGAGGGGGAGGAGGAGGAGGAGGAGGAGGAGGAGGAGGAGGAAGAAGAGGAGGAAGAGAAGGAGGAGGAGGAGGAGGAGGAGGAGGAGGAGGAGGAGGTCCCGGCTGCCAACGCACCGCCTCCACTGGCGAGGAGGCGCGTCGCCGCAGGTCTGCCGAGCGGCAGGCGACCCGCGACGAGGAGGCCGGGCGGCGCGCCCCACGGTTGGGCACGTTCTCTCTTGCGAACGCACTCCAGCCAACGGCTGCCTCTCACGCTCTTCGACCCTCGGCTTACCAGGGGCTTGCGCGTAGGCTGCCGCCACGTCGAGCACGGCGCCTTTCGCCCACCGTCTGCGTCCCACCACCCTGCCCGCCGTGGACTCTTCCCTCCGCTCCTTTTCTTTGAGCCTCATCCCGCCTGCCTCCTGACACCTCCGTACCCGTGGGCCGACGTTGTGGTCTTGTTGTCGGCCGCCCGCCGGGCCCCGCAGCCCTCCACTGTGAGCCCGCAGTCCCTGGATGCCACCTCGCTGGGAGGTCACCAACGACCCAACTTCATGCCGTCTCCCTGCGCCCTCGTGCCGTGTCCCTGTCACGGCCTCTTGCTCCGCCCCGCTCCTCGCGCGTGGCCGCTTGCTCCGCCCCGCTCCTCCCTCCTCCTCCTCCGACATCTTTGTTTCTCACCATCCCTCCAATATTGCCATCCTGTTGCCTCGTGGTCCTATCCTGCAGCTAGCACCGCATCTGCACCTGCCGATGGCACTCCTCCTCCCGCTCGTCCTCTTCACCCTCGGGCATCATGCCCCTCGCGATCGCAGTTCTCCTCCAGTTCCAGCCTCCAACATTATCATTCGTCGGCTGGCTCGTCCCCGCATCTTCACCACCACCGTCACCCATCACCCTCGTTCTTGCTCAGCCACCAATCCAACTTTCAGGCATGCGGCCTGCCTCCCCCGCCTTTCCTACACCTTTCCC